TCGACCCACTTGGAGATTAAATCAGACTGAACCGGTGGCTGGAAATTACTATCCTGTCAACACTCGAATCTACATCTCGGTACCTTTCCTGCCACTGTCTCAGACTAGGAAGCACCTCCCAGATACCTGGGGCAGGGTGGGGCTCCAACCAGGGACCCACATGCTCAGTCACCCTTACACCTAGGATGGGCACATGCAGCTAACCGTGGTGACCGACCGCTCCCAGGGGGGCAGCAGTCTGAAGGATGGCTCACTGGAGCTCATGGTAAGAGGGGAGCCCCATCCAAGCTGGGTTTCCTCCATAAGGCCCACCCAGACCCAGCCAAGCTTGGAGGCTGTTGTTGGTACCCATGTCCTGCCTGTGGCCTTGGTTCCATCCTCTTCCCTCTCCTCCCTTTGTTGTGCTGGGATTACAGGCCTGTATCACCATGCCTGGCTTTGGAATTGTATTTCTAAGTTCCACTTTCCCTCCTCTTACCCATTTCCTGCTCAGGCCATGACTTGTCCTGTGATGATCCTCTTGTTAAGCACTTACTTTCTTTGTCCTGGACTCTTGTTATTTGGGCCTCACTTCTGCTGGGGTCCCCTACCAGTAGACTCTGATCTTGGTCTTTCATTTCTGTTGGAACTCCTGCAAGCCTGTACCCAGTTTCTGATTGGGATCACTTGCTCTTTCCTCACTTTTTCCTGGCCACTCCTCGCAGGTGCACAGAAGGCTTTTGGTAGATGATGAGCGCGGACTTGTGCAGCCCCTCATGGACTCAGGGACGGGGAAGATTGTGAGAGGGCGCCACCTTGTGCTTTTGAGTTCTGTTAGTGATGCAGCTGAAAGGCACCGACTGCTGGTGGAGAAAGAGGTCCTGGCCCCTCAGGTGGTGCTGGCTCAGGGTGATGGCATTCCCTATTACTCCCAGGCAGCGCCAAGGATGCAGGTGAGGGACAGCGAGAAGAGCAGAAAGGCAGATCCTGAATGACGCCTTCTAAGCCCCTCTTTTCAGGACTGAGTTCACCCTCAGTTTAAGTCTGTCCCCTTAGGAGTGAGCTCCTCCCTGTTGTGAGCAATGTGCTTCAGTATTGAGTTCGGCCTCATCAATGCCCCTTCCCATTCAGCTTCGTTTCCTGCAAGTCAGTGCTGATTGCCAGCCAGGCTC